TTGTAATCCAGCGCCGCATGTTTACACATTGCATTCTGCTGTGAGGGTTTGAACAGCTCCCAGGAGAGGGCGGTGAGAGTGAATTGAATTTGTTTCATATGAAACTGGCAAGAAATAGCGGAACCATATAAATTGTTGCCCTCTGATTTTAAATTAATTCTCGGCTTTATAAACGGTACCATTTCATTCACCCCATTGACCTTGGTCACAGTCAACACAAACTGCACACCAGTGCCAAAAAAGCATTCCTCTTGCAAAATAAAAAGCACAATCATCATCGTTTTCCGATGGGCTGTGGCATCACTTTCATTTTTTCACCTTTTTTTTTACCTTCAAAAAGCAACACCGAAAGATGAAAGTTCTCAACAGATGAAAACAGTTTCGTTTTATTTGAACTGGTGACGTCTCTTTGTGGTGGTGGTGGTGGCGGTGGTGAAAACGTCTCGAAATAATTTTCACTTAAACGACGTAAAGGTAAAAGAAGAAAAAAAAATCCGCACATCAGCGGGCGCATGAATGATGGATGATGTTGACTTGCGAGGCATTGTGCTCGCACACAAACAGCAATTGGGCAGGTGTTTTGCTGCAATGCATTCCCAAACAGCTTAAGCTGATACTGCAGGCCAAGACTTCATAGGGGCATTGGATTTATGAACACAATGCCGTTCTTTGGCTTATGAGAGGGGATTGCAAAGAGGTTATGGGTTAGGCTTATGCCAGTCTTAGGCTGTGATGGGAAGCATGTACCCCCCCCCCCCCCCGCCGCCCCCAGGCGTGCTCTCCTTTCCAGAGAGACCTGTGCTGCACAGTCGCGCGTGCCTGTGCGCAGTAGGTAACCACGGCTAGCGCAAAGGTGATTTAGTCGATGCCGACGTCACACTCAGAGCTCAAACAGCCTCACAAAAATGCTTTCTTCAATATCTTTGCTCTGAATAGAAAAAAAGGATAATTGGCGATGCGTCAGACAATGGCCCTCCTACGTAGCGCATACGGATGCACAATGAAGATGGGCCATCATCTGAAACGTCGCCTGTTGTATGCGTGTATTATTTTAGGGCAGTGTCATTGACAAATATGTTGGGGTTTTGTTTGCTTTGTGCACCACTGCCGACGCAGTATCACTAGAAAATAACCATATTGACAGCTTCGCAGTTCGAATTAAGGTGGTCACTAAAAGATGATGTGGGGTGGTGTGTTGAAACGGAACTGGCATTTGTAATTTATATAATTAAATAACGTTCATATTAAGCAGAATTGAAAGGTATATGAATTAATGGAGAGAGTGACAATTGAGTGTAAAGGTCATGCATATGCTCTATACAAGTCATTGTTTCATTTCAATTTCAAAATCCCCACGCGGTCACCCCCACGCAAGTTGGGTTTAATTGTGTTACGATATCTCATTACATGGGGACACATATCCTCGGAAATCTCTCTTTTTTTTCCCTTTGTTTCTTCTCCGAAGACGGATGAATATTTCATGGATTTGAAAGTCAAACGTAAATTGTTGCAACAAAGGCAACAGCGTCTGCTTTTCGTCATCCTGGTTCTCTTTTTTTGTAACGAGCTTGATCAATTTCCATCTTGGCAGCGACCGCCGTTGCCCCCTTCGAGCCGGGTTAAAGCCGGTGGTGCATACCAAAGATGAGACATTAATCAATTTTGTAGAATAAATGTTACGGGTTTTCTTTTTTTGGTGCGTGTGTAACAACGGAGGAGCAGGAAGAGAGACACGTTCAGAGTGCTAAATGATGAAAATCATCAATTTAACACGTAGCAGGCTTTCGCGGCCAGTATTATTCATAATATAGGTTTTTGGGTCAGATCGCGTTATTTCTAAATGTGTCGTAACCCTCCACCACCCGACACGGCCAAACAGTAAAAAATGTGTCACGTTTTTCAAAGGACACATAATTCACTTCTTTAGCCCACCGGTGTGTTGAAGAGAGAATCAACAGCATTTAAAAATGTGAGTAGTACGACGTTTCGCTGATAATTACAATCAGCTTCATCGGGCAAGAATGTTGAAGCTCTCCTGTTGCTTCCGGTCTTAAATAGAGCAGCCTCAGCAGGGTGACGTCTTCATTTAATTCAATCTGGTGCACCAGTACTTATCAGCGAAACGTCGTACTCAAATTAAAAAATGCTGTTGATTCTCTCTTCAACACGCCGGTGGGCTAAAGAAGTGAATTATTTTGTCCTTTGAAAAACGTGACACATTTTTTACTGTTTGGCCGTGTCGGGTGGTGGAGGGTTATAAATAACGCGATCTGACGCAAAAACCTTTATTATGGATGAAAATGATGTCTTTTGCCCGAAGCGGGACGATATTTGTTCTTTTGACGCCTTTTCCATAAATAGGGTTCAATTAAATGAGGCTGCGTAGGGTGAATTAAACGTGGGGTACGACTGCGGGGATCTCTAAATTAACCTCATTGTTAATGGACACGTTTTTGTTTTATAACGATCTCAGCTATTGCCGATATGAAGTTGCCGTCCAAGTGTTATTTTGTCTTCTCTGAAGGAAAAAAATGAGTTTTACCAAGCTTAACGCTGCAGGAAGGAGGTTAATTGGTCATAGTGCAGACCACACTTTGAAATTATATTACAGATGAGGCTGCTTAGTTTTCATAAACATTTTATATATACCTTCATGTATCTGTATATACACAGACACGTATGAAATGCACTCAATAGTGATTTATGGTGATGACATTATAATAATAAAACACACAATGACCGAATATTAGTGTTGGTTTAGAATCCCATGAAAATGTCATTTTAATTTATCATAATATACAACCCATTATCATTCCACTGGCAGATGATGGCCTTACCATACCATATAGGTAATGAGAGGTTTATTTTTTTTACCATACTTCACCATACTAATTAGTGTGGGGTCAATGATGGTAGGGCGTTTCAGAACCAGTTCAGATATCATTTGCCACCAATGTTGGCCATGGCTGGGAATCTAACTCGGCCCGCGGGGTTTCGTAGCGCAGTGCACACGAAAAAAAGTATACACCAACGAGAGAATCATCTGTGACATTGACAAACAATCTTTGTGACTGTGCATGCACTATTATTATCCTGTGCTTAACATGGTCTGATTGCCCGTGATATGCGCATGTGTATTTGTAAAAGTGCAGCAGGAAATGTAATGTATATGTGGGAATGTGGGAGAGTTTAATTGCAGTTGTGTCGCAGTATAACCCGTTGACTCTTACACAGGAAAGTCGAATTTAACAACAGATAACAATGGCTTCTTGTACACGTGCAATTTTTTGTTAATACACCGATTGCATCTGATTGTAAACTCTTGGATTCACTGCTAGGCTAGGACAATGCGAATTTTCGCGTGTGTAAGATGCCTGCACTGTTAAAAGTAACACAATGTTACATTGCTACCGCAGATTCAAAGTGTTACATTTTTGTCATGTTCTGTTTATTTAATTCCTAAAATTAATTTATTTTCTTCCATAAGTGTACATTTAATTGATTTTTTTTTATTTGCCTTCATTCCGTGCACATTGTTCATATTTGGAATCTGTTATTTGTATTTTTTTAATTACCTTATGTGAAGATCCTTGAGTGATTCGCCTAATTTGGAGCCATATTGTAGTTGCGTGTTTGCTGTATGGTGTATTTATATATTTATAGGGCACCATTGACCTAAGGCACTTCAGACGTCTCATTCGGCTCTGCCCTGAACATAAGTATCGGTCGAAGTTCCGGTAGTGAGCCAGTCCAATGTCACATCCCAGTTTCAAATGTTACACATGACCAGGTATTGAACCCAGGTCTGTGGGATGAAAAACAATGTGACCACCTCCCACAACTAAAATATTAAATTCCCCCCTACCACCATAGTAATACAGACTGTTGAAGAACATGTCCTTAGGGGCCACCTATTAAGGTTGGCATGGAAAAAGAGGAAAATAATGTGGCCAGCTGTACCACTATGTGGAACTGCCACCGCTCCTTAGTGGCCATTTTCACAACGTGCGCCAAGTACTCATTTAAGGCTGAGCCAACGGAAAGGGAGTCCACCACCGAATTATGTGGATGAAGGTTCATGTGGCTCAGCGGTTGAGCGAGTAGCTTGCAGTCGGAAGGTTGAGCGTTCAAATCCTGGTTAGGGGTTGACTCAGCTCATCCCAACTCTGGGGTCAATAAAATTAGTTCCACTTTGTGGAGAAGTAAAAAATCGACTCACCCCCACTGTAGAAATGTGGAATTTCCCACCCACTGGCTCAGAGATACACACGGGCGATTAGCACTGCCTGTGCGTTCATTTGCACAGAAAATCACTTTTGAGTTGACTTCAACAGAAGGACTGGATGACCAACGTTGTGGAATGGGCCGAACATTCTGCGGAAACCAACCTCAGGATGTTTCAAGACAGATGAATGGAGGAAGGCAGTGGTGGCAACAGCTGTGATTCCCCAATGACCATAAGTCAAGTGACTCACATGACAAGATAGGGGAGGCCCAGAACAGGTTCAGATACCCAATGCCACTGATGTTATCCATGACTGGGAATTAATAATAATGATTTAGATCCATTTGTCAATCTAATGCTAGATGAGGGCCTCCTCATGCCATGTCTGTCATAGGGGTTACTTGACCATACATCACTGCGCTGGTCAGTGCGGGTTGGTGAAGTGCGTGTATGTTGAATTTCTTTCGCACCATACGTAGCCAACCGTAGCGAGCCAAAGTGGGGGCTAGAACCCAGATAAGATATCACTCACCACTGATGGGAGATGTCACTCGCCACTGGTGTTCGCCATGGCCGGGAATCAAAACTCCGTTCACCAGGTTGACAGCGCCGCGCCGTTAACCGCAACCCCACCACTCCCCACGACACGAGACAAATATCGCCCGTATAGCTAACACGGAGCTCCCCACAACGCGCACACACACACACACACAATGCGTACGTACAATTGAGTGACTCTCCTTGTTGGTTTCCGCGTGTTCTGCTGCCGCCACAGCTGCAAGGTGAGCTGGAGCGTGCGGAGCAGGGGGCGGCCTCGCTGCAGGTCTATGCCGACAGTCTGCTGCAGCAGATCTCCGACCGCTGTCCCGAGCTGCTGGAGCAAGTGGTCAGCGCCCTGGAGGAAGCCGCGTCGTGACCTCGCCCTCCAACGCCGCCCTCTGAACCCGGGTCGGCCTCGCCCACCCCCCCCCCTGCCGGAGACGCTCTGCTGGCCCAGCCTCCGTCTCCTCCTCTTCGTCGTCCTCGTCGTCCTCGTCCTGCCGCTCTCGGATCGAGCCGCTGCCCTCCCCTCCTCTTCTTACCCCGCCGCCGCCGCCGCCGCCTCTGTGGCTTCAGGAGCGAAACGCCCGCTTGGCCTGACTTTGAGAGGAACGTGTGTCATCGAAACCGTTTGGGAGCCGCTCTCTCGCGAACACACATTCGCCTTCACCGCAGCATGTCGGCAATGTGAAAAGCTCTCACTCGCCCGTGTGTGTGTGTGTACGCATCTGTGAGTGCACGTCCAATTCGGTGGTGTGGTGTGTCGGTGGGGGGGGGGCCTAAGGAGGCACATGTCTTCTCCTAAATGGACAGCAGTAAGCCCCCCCCCCCCCCAATAAGAGGCAGCTCCACGGTCGCCACCGTTGATGCCACCACACTCGCTCATTGCTTGACACCTGCCCTCCAAAGGTGTGCCCTTGCAGTATTTCACTTGAGACCGATATTGTTTTACCACCCACACACTCCATTAGGTGTCACCCTCCTTGGTACCATCTTCGCCGCATGCTATAATCCCTGCCAGTTTTAGTCCTACCCATGCGCATGTGAGCGCTGTGCGAGCGGCATGCCAGTGTGCGTACATCTGCGGCGTGTTCTTGTGTGTGTGCGCGCGCGCGCAAGTCACTGCAGGCCACACTGGGACCCTGAGCATGTCAGATTGCCCTGGATTGACCCTAATGTGAAATTACACTGAAAAATACACTGCGCTACTTAAGAAGGCTCATTTGCCCCTCCCCCCAGCCCTTCTCGTGCCTGATGCGTCTGTCCCCTGGAACAGGGCTACAAGTCTCACTCAACCGTATATATACACGCATTTAAAAAAAATGCATGTCACGTCCTCCAAGTAGTATCAAGTGGCTGCTTTGTACTGTTAGACCACAGCTTGACCGGTGGAATTTTATATCAGAATGAGTGTTACAGCTGGCGAAACCGGTGTTCGAGCCAAGTATAATAGGAAGCGTGCTTATAAGGACAATTTCTTTCTAAAGATAGTGAAATGTTTGACAAACTCGTTCGCCGTCATGCCGCGCGGAGAAGGACAGTGAAGTGATCGAAAGCGCCCAGAAACATTTGGACAGCTCGCACTCGCACACACTTAGTGACACGCACTCACTTAGTGACATGCACACGCTTAGTGACACGCACTCACACACGCTTAGTGACACGCGTACCGCTCGCAACGCACAAATAACACCCACTAAGTCCCTTTGACGGCGCAATTTTACAGGTGCAACGCAATATTATTTTGTTCTTTCGGTAAAGTCACGTGGATAGAAAAATAATCATACGAATAAAGTGGATTTAAAAAAGGTGCACACAATCCCCTCCCCTTTAGAGAATGGTGCTCGAAAACTTTCGCGTCGCGTGCGGCGGTACAACGCCACGATATTGTGCACGGTTACTGCAAAACGTGAGTTCACGATATTTTCTGAACCTTTCCAGCGAACGTGATTTGTAAAACAATGAACGCGGTCAGGCTCGGAGCTGCGATAATGCTTCGACGAGCGCTGCGGTCCGGGGCGAGGCGAGGCGAGCCTTGGGTGTGCGAGGACGTGAGATTGTGACGGCATCAACCCTCTGATCGACAAACAAAAATGTGCAATTGTGAAGCCTTTTTACGTCATCGATTGAACATTTCAAAAATTTCTTTGAGACGCAAAACAAAAAAAGGGGTTAATCTTAACTTTGACACTTGCTGTTTTTCTTCTTTTTTTGTCTGCTCCAAAGTCGTCGGTGTTTTTGCATCTGTGCCCGGTGTACAACGAGAGAGAGCGCGTGAGCGCGGCATAATTTTGCTTTCGACTGCCGTTTTGGGACTGTTTTTGTCACGTGACTTTTTGCACTGAAGTGGTTGTGGTCTCCAGACGGCCTGCCTTTCTGCGTGCTCTCGAGTCGAACCTTGACGGGTTGTTTCGTCAAGGGGCTGTACTTGGTTTCCCACTTGTTTGTCATGTCTCCGAACGGTGACGTGTGTTCTCGCGTAGCAAATGTCCTCTATTTAAACTGAAAGCTGCTAAGAAATACTTTGCTGCAAGATTTGTATTCTACCCCTGACGGATATTAATTGGGGGCTAAGAATTTGTTTAGCTTTTTCTGAAGAGATAAGAGACTATTAGTTTTGTGTTTTTTGTTATCGACTGTAATTTCCGTAGCTGGAGGGGGGGGGGGGTGCATTAAAGATGTAACACACCTACTGCCATTCTGCAAAGAAATATAGCTCTTCAAGCTGCCGTTTAAAAATAGGATCTGCTTTGTGTGCGCCTGCATACAGGGGGAGGGCAAGATGGGAAGGCGCACTGGTGTGGTGGGTTGATTGGGGGGTGCGGAAAGTTTAGATTTACATTTAAATTAGATTAGATAATTATCGTTGTTGTTTTCGCTGGGTATTGTAACGGGATTTTGATCGTTTAATTTCGAATTGTCTATTATAATCCTTTTAAGGTATCGGCTGCATTGGGGCGAGTCGGTTTTTCACAGCCGATTTAACGTGCCAACTTCACACTACAAGCCTTTTGCTGAGTTGGGCGACGCTTAATAAAGGGACTTTTGTTACCGAAGAAGGCATTTACTGAGCACAATTCCGAACGTGTGGCACAAGTGGTTTGAGAGTGTGCCAACTTTTGACATGAATCTGTGCTGCGATGGCCAAAAAAATGATGTTAATTGCTCACTCAACCTCACCACAACATTAATGACTTGAACCACGTGGAAATTTCAGACTGGTAATGAGATAATGGGAATTTTTTTAAAGACCTTTGCACCCCCTTTATTACAATGGTTTCGTCTCATGCCCCCCCACCACCCCCACGTGTGCACATTTGCAAACCAGTTGTCAGCGTGTGGCTGCATTTGGAGTGTTCCACGTTGACGGTGGGGAGGGGGGCGGTGTGTGAGCGTGATTTCGACTGTTCCTGGATCGTGGCCGTGAGTTGAGAACGTGGCAATAATGCGGTTCGCTTGTTTCAACGCCGACGTCAGAATGGGTTGATTAATTGAAAAGCGGGGGCGCTGCCTCGTTGGGAATAAAATAGACAAATAGCGGAGATGATATTTTACTTAAAGCCACGTTTATACCTCAATCAGCGTTGAGCTGCCGAAAATAGTCCACGATAACTTTAAAATGCTCTTCATTGAAATTTGCACACAGCCTATTAGACTTTAAAAAAGCACATGTAATGTATGGTTGAGGTCTGACTGTATGAATGCAAAGGAACACCATACTTGTATCAATTGGCATGCTGTTAGCATGCGTCTGTTTTGTTTTCATAGTCTAGGTATATGTAACACTGCTCTATTTATATTCCCTTACCCAAATACTGTAGGTCTTGTTTGTTTGCCATTATATTTTTAAGTATTCTTTTGCTTTATTGCATTTACAAATGAAAAATAATACCGATGAATGTTTTAAAAGTATATAAATCTATATATTTTCCAAAGTTACCATTGGCGCATGTGTCGGGACGACGGACGGAAAGAGCTCTACGCTTGTACTAAGTGCGTATTGGGGTCTTTTTTTTTGTCCGACTGTTTGGTTCAACGCGGGTGGAACGCTGCCGTGCGGTCCGTGTCTGCAACGTGAGAAGCCGCGCGTGTTGATGGCAGCGTGTGTGTATGTTGTGTGTAAAAAAAAAACGAACCTTGTGAGTATATTGAAATGTTCCTACCCCCTCCACGTCTTGTCCCCTTGGTTATGCAAAAACAAAAAAAAATACGCGCGCGTGCGCACATACACACACCGCTTTAAATGTTACGTGCGTTTAAATTTCAACGGATCACTTCTCTGAAGTCCAAATGCATTTCTGAATCGAGTTAAATATAGTTGCGAATGGTTTAGCTGGATTCGCATCGTTCTCTTCGCGCCTCCAGCGAGTTCCCCTGTGCCATGGCGCGCAGCGGGGAACGCTCAAGTTCAGCAATGCGGTCGGGGTTTGCTGTACACACTTTCCTCGTTATTCGCGAGGGATACGTTTCGTAGATGCTCGCGAAAAGCAAATTTCGCCGATAATGTTATTGGCCTACGAAAACCTGTCTTTTTAAAATGAATTTACCTTAAACAAATACATAATCAAGCTATTCTCTCATTACGGTATCTCATCACTTTCAATGCAGTCGTGTTGAGAGTTCCAGATGCGATTTGCGGATAGTCAAAAATCACGGATAGCAAGCGCGTGCATACCCAGGAAATAACCGCACAGACGCACGCCTGGAGTGGTGGGGCCGAAGCCGGCCGGGCCAAACGCAGACGAGCTTAGCAAAGCGTGCCTTGGCCAAGTCAGCTTGCCTTGGCCAACCGAGGTGGTGGTGGTGACATCCACGCAGGCGACAGGCCGTGCCGCGCGATGATTTGCTTTATTTTTTTTGTTTTACTGCACAACAACGGCGTGGATGGAACATTGGCTATCACCCCTGAACGTCTCCTCCGTGGGGATTCGCAAACGGAGAGCTCGAAATAAGTTGCGGGACAATTGGGCCCCACCGTGTGGTAAAGAAATAATTCCCGCGTTGGTCACGTTTAAAAAAAGGGCCCAGGTGTTCTGCGTTTGGTTTCGGAGTCCGTTCTAAACAAAAGAGAGGAGAGAGAGAGAAAAACACAGCGAATGCTTGATTATTGGTCCCCCCCATCAAATGTAATCCTTCGTCATCGTGTGTGCGTTTCAAATTGTGTGGAAAACGGCTCGTACAATTTCCAAATTACCAAACTGCTATGTTGGTCGTGTGTGCGTTAAAGTCTACCGAACTTGACGTGTTTGGTTTATAACCCCGATTCCTTGTTTTTGTTTGTGTTCTTGCCCCGTTCGTTTAACCGAGTCACGGAGGGGGGTATGCATTGATCAGTGTGTCCATTGCTTTGATGTTTTATTGACCGGGGGAAATCTATACGTGGCACATGCAGTACAGGCTACTTAATCATCGAGCGGATGTCAGAATGTTATATTAATTCTGCCTCTTGATGCTGTGATATAATGTGCTTTTTTGATGATTGAGAATTAAAACAAATGTTAAGTGTAAATCAAGCTATATTAAATGTTATTTGGCAACCTTGAGAATCTTGTGAGTTTTTTTTCATTTTCCTCTTATGACATGACCTGTGCGCACATGTATGTATGCATGTTTAACTTCTTTCGCCGGAACCGAACATAACAAATCGTGCTTATCAGAGGTGCCGGGAACGTGCTAACGTTCTGCCGATCTTCGAGAGAATGTAACTTCGGCGATGCGGGTCACAAGATCCCGTTCGTTTGTTTTTATATCTTTTTTTTCACAAAGGGGTAATTGCCCAAAACACATGTCAGGTGACTTGGCCATTATGAGCGGCGGTGTTGATAATGACGCCGATAATTTGCGATCGTTTGCCGATGAGTGCGAGCCGCGAGGCCCTTTCTTCGCTTGGCTCCGCGCGGTGTGGCTCGTGAATGTTTTCGTTCGCCGGTCCACACGGGTGGCGAATGAGAGAGGTCACGCAGTGTCAGGAAGCCGTTTGATTCGGGATGGAGGAGGAGGAGAGGGGGGGAGCCGACGTGCAGCCGATGTATAACTTACGAGGCGGCGTGAACGAAGGGTGGTGGACTGATGGCTATCAGTCAGCTGCCCTACGTACTCGCGGGGCGTGATAGCGTCTTCACGTCCAAGTGAAGGCTTGTCAAAGCGCCGTCAGGGGTGATGGGGTGAAAGTATGGAAACATTGAGAGTTCTGGAGCAAACAAGGCCACTTAGGCCATCAAAACAGACCACCAGACCTGGTTGCTGTTCACATCCAGGTCATTGTAGCGTACATGCACCACCGTCTTCTGTTAAGTCTTATACAGGGTGCTTAAAAATGTTTTTAACACTCCTGAGAATTTGCAACAACAGCACAAGAAATGTGCCTCCGGGCTCTGGAGACCACCTGGAGAAGATTCCAGGCGTTTGTTGACAATGATGGCGAACAAGTGGAGACGGACTTTTTGAAGCTCATCACACACATTCGTTAACATGTTCTATTTCTATTAAAAGATAGTCCCATATAAATGTTAACATCTTTTTTACGCACCCTGTATATATTGGCTTGCGTTTAAATCACGGCACGTGGTGTTGTTCGAGCATGTGCGACATTAACGTGGACTTCTCAAACTGCAATTAATGAAAGCCTTGGCCATGCCCCTTTTAACCCAGGAAAGAAAAAGCTCACAGAGGCTGGTGATGCTTTTTTGTATCAGGAGGGGCCCCCCATGCATTGTGATGCCAGGTTCAAATTAGCATCGACACGTGGGAGGAAACAACCACCCCGAGAAAACGCTCAGAGACTCCGCACAGATAGATTCGAGAATGTGTTGCTGCAGTGCCATCTCCTGGCACCTCGCGGGCCAAGCCTTACAACCCATCGAGCATCCCCAGGCACGCAAGTCCGAGCAGGGATCAGGTCTGCCTAGCTGCTGACATTGTACGAGATCGGGTGGATGGATCCAGGATGATTTGATTGTGTGGACTAAGCATGCTCTACATTCACAAGTAAAGGAGCTTATGGCGCACTGCACACATCTGTACACTGAGAATGCTTGGATTTCCCGCTTGGGCAGGCGCTGTCAGAGCACGTTGATGCAGAGGATAAATTACTTTTTGTTTTTTTTTTCGGTAAAGTCACGTAGGTGAAAAATGAAATAAATGAAAAGAACTAAATTAAATCACGACGTTTCGGAGGCAACACAAGCTTCCGTCTTCAGGTGGAACCGTTACAGCCAAAGTCACTGTAGTGAGCTGTAACGGTTCCACCTGAAAACGGAAGCTTGTGTTGCCTCCGAAACGTCGTGATTTAATTTAGTTTTCATTTATTTTATTTTTCACCTACGTGACTTTACCGAAAAAAACAAGAGTATGAATCCTTACAGTCACGAATGCTTCAAATCTAGATACTGTATATTACTTAGTTACATTTTAGTTTTGCAAGCATAGTCAACCTACAATTGATTAATTAGTTGTGTATTTTTTCATTATGACTTATATTGGGTTACGTTTAAGCATTGTTGCTGCATAACTCCTCACAAACATTGCAAAGCATGCTGGGTATGTGTCGTGCCTTTAGATGCCACGAGTGTTCAAACATCGTAATGGGTTGGTTGAAACTATGAACGATGACGAGGAGTTAAACAGTTATTGCCGACTCCCAATGTATTCGTCCACATCAAGCAACATTTTTTTGTCCACAAAACCCATTTCAAATGTCTTCGGGAATCTGGCTACTGTGCATATATCCACATCCGGACCTGCCCCGTGCACGAATGACATTGAAGGGAAAATTACACCTCGCCACTTATTTGTTTATGGTTTTAACACTAGGCGGCCTTCTAGTTTTCTGTCTCCGTTTCAAAACCTGGCCACAGTCCAGGTCTCCGATGCAACGACGTTGGGAATAGGACATGCGTTTTGTGGTCCTAATAAAAACCCCAAATCATTGGGATTCACTCGACAGCCCCTGCAATGAAGCTGTAAAGTAAATGACAATTCTTAGGTTTTTGCGGTAAAATCACGTAGGTAAAAACATTAAAATTAATAAAAATAAAATAAAAATCACGACGTTTCAGAGGCAACACAAGCTTCCGTGTTGCCTCCGAAACGTCGTGATTTTTATTTTATTTTACTTTTATTAATTTTAATGTTTTTACCTACGTGACTTTACCGAAAAAACCTAAGAATATGAATCCTTGCAGTCACGAAAGCTTCAAATCTAGAATTAAATCCCAATTGTACTCCCCTCCCCCCACTACATAGATGAGTTCAAGTGGAAGTCACTGTGCATTAGTGAGTAGCACCATCGTGTATGGATGTGCACGCAGAGTGAGAACACAGGTGGAGTTGTCCTGTGCCCTCTGGGTGGTCCACGTGGTGGTCGTGCAAGCGCCTTTGGAGACCAGGGTTCAAGTCCCGATCTCACCCCTCCTGCTAATGCCCTACGGAAACATCATCAATAAGGATCGCGCCGTCCTTCGAGGGGTGTTAATCCTGCGAGCCGAGGCGAAAAGTTCCCCGTCGGACGGCATTGTGCGTTCCCCAGAAATGCCCGGCGTGCCTGGTAGTTCACTGGGCTGAGTCTCTTCTCCTCTCGCCTCCCTCGAACTCGGCAGAGACTCCGCTGCGAGCGATCGCTTCGCGTCTCCGGGTCTCAGTTGGTTAACTCGAGGCTACTGAAAAACGCGATCAAATGCATTCAGTTAAGGGAGACGTATCCGTGCAACGCGTTATTGTGCATCGTTTCTTTCTTTTCAAACAACGGAGCGAAAAAAAAATGACGGCAGGAATAAAATCCCAGACAGCAGCTAGCAGCAGCGAAAAAATAAATCTCGAAAGAGAGACTTCATAAATAAGCAGAGACGAAGCTGCCGTTGTGCAAGCGTTCGGGACCACCTCCATTCATCAAACCCGTGCCGTGTGAGCCAATCGCGACGAGGCCCCGCTGCTGTGAACCCTGCAGACGTCTCAACAGCGCCAACTGACTTTGGTCGCAGGTGAAAGCATTGTAATAATTAGGCATCATCATGTCCTTCCCTCTCCCCACGCCTAAAGCAACTGCATTTTCTCCCCCCCGCCGCCGCCGCCGCCGCCCCCCAATCAAAACTAAAACAACCCCGAGCCAAGTCGGGCTCCCCGTTGCGCGCCCCCTTTCCACGCGCGCCGATTTGCGAGCGGCCAGAGGAAGGTATTTGTTGTTGTTCAACCGCAACTTTCACGAACTTTGGCCCGCGAGAATACAGTCTGAAGCAAGCGCTGTACTCGAGTGGTCGTGCTGGTGGTGGAGGTGCTACTGCCGCCGCTCCTGCGGCTGCGAGGAGAGTCACGGAAACAATAGGAGGGGAGTAGGGGGGGGGAGTAAGAGAGAGAGAGACCGCAGAGAGACCGCGGAGAGCTGCAGCGAAAGAGAAACCGCCTCTCTTTGCCGTCGCAAGAGCGTCGCGCGAAAACTCGCGGTGCGTAAATTCGCTCGTCTGGACGAGTCCACGCGCACGCACGCGCGCACGCGCTCTCAGCTTTACTTCTCAAAGTTGAAGACTCTCTCGGCGTTACACACTACTTGAAGGTCTCGCTCTCTGTCGCTCACAAGGTGGGGCCCCTCGACTTTGTAAATAAATAAGCAAGTTAACTGTTAACCGAGCGAGCTAGGCGACTAATAAACGCGACATTTCAAAAGGGGGCGAGTGTGGCACTGTAAAAGAATAAATCGCAACGGAGTTTTCCTCTCTCGGTGCGCTTTTACGCAATCGCCGCGCAGAGCGAACAAACCCAAAAAGTTTGGCGAAAGTTCGCGAAAGCGAATCATAAACGGCTAAGTAAGCAACTCACTCTTGCGAGAGTAGTACACCGGGGGGGGGAGGAGGGGGAGTGGGAAGGTAACTACACGGCACGCACTCCTCCGTGCTGCTTACTCTCTGTGCGTCTCTGCCGACACTTCACGATGTGCCCTGTTGTTGTTGTTGTCGTCGTGACTGTCGCCGTTTCTCTTCGCCGGCTCGGCTGCGGGAGTTGCTGCACGGGCGGGCGGGCGGGTGCCGTTCGGGCATAGGAGGAGTCGCTTCATCCGAGGAGCCGCCTCATCCGGAGCGATGAGTCGAGGCGGCTCGCAATTGGCCGCTCACTAATTGAGCACCGCTCGAGCCTAGCCCCGCGATCAGTTACTCGTCGGCAGGCGCAGCAGCAAGAGATCTTTAGCCCTCGGGACTCACGCGGCAAAGAGTCGGGCGACGCGTGGGCCAGCTGCGCTCTCCGGCAAGTACGTTGAGCGGTCACCGTTCAACTCATGGCTCCCTGTCTCTCACCTGTGCGCTGTGTTGGCGCCGGCAGCTTTGTACGAATAATGGGGAGACATACGGTGGCGTTGTTGCGCGCGCCAAGGGTAAATGCTCAAGAGAGCCGGTGTTTTGTAAACTTTTTTTTTAATGTGCTTCTTGTTGTTGGTGGTGGTGCTGATGATGATGATGTGCAGATGGTGGTCGGGACGGATCCGTGAGTGAGGTCTCAGTTGTCGTCGCCAACCTCCTCGTCTCCGGCCCCCTTCCCCACTTTGGTGGGGGGACGTTCGAGGCCTCTCGCAGGGAAACGTAACCCCCTCGGAGCAAGAAACGCGTTGCAATGTTCAATTATTTTTTTTAACAAAAAAAGTTTGGAACATAAAGAAAACGCTGACACTCGCTGGGGATAAAGTTTCGGAAGCGTTGCGCAGGACGGAGGAATTTAAACAAAACTTCGCGGCAGAGATCGGCGGACAAGGCAACTCCAAACCATACTCATCATCACCCCGGTAAGCCACGTTCGGTAAAGTGAATTTCCTCTTTATATGTTTTTTGTTACAATTCCTACTTGTTTAAAGTTGCGGTCGACAAAAAAAACAAAGCACGTCGTTGCATCGTAATTGTGTAAATCGCTTCGCTGCCTCCAGCCGATGACAAGTTGACTCTCCACGAGTCGATTCGTCGCTTAACCGCGAGTCTGTGAACAACTCGGCTCAACTCCCGTGCACACTCCCGGCACGCACGCCACTTAGGCGCTACACGTGCGTGCGCGTGCGCTGTTCCACAAGTGCGCGCGATGTGAAGACTGCAAGCGCAGTCGTTGATGCGTTGCGTTGAATGCGTCGCGGATGTCGATTGTTCGACGCGCGTAACAACTTTTTTTGTTTTGTTAAATTGCGCGTAAAAGCGCCGTGAAAACACGTTTTCTTCACAAGCCGCTGAGTGGAGTCGCCGGTGCCGTTTGCTCTTCGACGGAGGCAACGTCGCTGGTTGTGCAACGGGGTTTTTTGGCATTGCCAGAGCATCACCTGCGGTGACTTAACGACAAATCGCACTTGATGTTCGCTCACATTTTCACTTTTCGCACCCGATGACCGTTGCACAACCCGCGTTTAAATAAACCAAAGCACCCTTCATGGCCTGCATCTCTCCATCTCTCCGGCTCACCACTCATCCGAGTTGCAGCAGAAACGCGACATTCATTAAAAAATAACTTTGTCTCTGGTTCTTCGCATCGAACAAATTGGTTTAGCTTCCAATCGCTCGTGTAAGGAAGGCCTCGTCTTCACCGACCGTTGTACGAATAACTTCTCGTATAATAATAATTAACCCTTCAAAGGTTTTCGTCATTCCATTGCTAGATGATGTCAATGGATTGAGAGTTTGCTTGACCATACTTCACCTCACTGGTCAGTGCGGTTACAGCAGAGTTATTTCGGGCGGTGCCAATATCCTAAATCACTCATTGCTATTTCTTCATTTGTATTCTTTCAGCGTGAGTCCGATATGCGGTTACGTAATATCAACTCCATTGTACTGCTTTAAAGACTGCACACCAAAACCGACCAAACACTCCATCTATCCGCAAACCATAGAGACAGTGGGGTGGGGGGACGACCGAATCAGTCTGTCGATTCACCCGAATGAATGAGTGTGTGTACGTGTGTTGAACTCCTTTCGCACCGTACGTAGCCAACGGTGCCAATCGGAGGTGCGTGCGTGCCGTGCGAGTGTCGTTTGTCTATTCGCGCTGGCGATTGTGCAGCTCAAATGATAATTAATCAGCGAATTCGAGTGCCGTGTTCCCGAACTAGAGAGGGCCCAATCATTGCAACGGGCGTGACAAATACAGCGCGTCCAGGAAAGCTTTCATCCGGTGTTTGAAAACTTTATAATTAGACAGCGGTTTGAATACCGCGGTGTAGAGGCTTGGCAAACGAGTCCTTTATACGCTTACGTGTGTTTTGTTTGGAGGTTATTTTTGTTGTTGTTACCGCAAAGCTTTGAATGATCTCGTGACAGCACACATCGGAAGCATTCGAAATTATCTCATCGAGAGGTATTGGCCCAATTACCCGGCAACCTGTCACAGCTCAGAGCAACTGAACTTCACCCACTGCGATCGGAGGGAACTTGGAGCTGTTCAGACGCAGTGTGTCCAAAACTTCATCGCGTCGACCACCACCATCACCAACCACGCCACGTCTCTCCGCGTTCGCCAATGCATTCCTCGCAGTCAAATTGCAACTTAAATCGTTCCACGGTGCACGCGTCCGACGATTTGTTAGACGCGTTCCCTCCTCCTCCTCCCTCCTTGTGATGCGCTTCGCAATTTTGACGCCACCGGCGTGAACATCGAAGCCGCTTCGAGTCAAGGTTTGAGACGTCGGTGTGCGTGTTCCACGCGTGTACGCGTGGAACACGTGACGCAGAGAGAGAGAGAACGGTAATTTGCACGGGGCGCGTCACGTGGCACGTGTTTAACAATCATCGGGCGCGTGCAGCGTGGAACGAGTTAATTTGCATTTTTGAATTGGAGGACTAAAATTGGTAAACGCGCAGAGTCGCGGCGATCCGCGAGGACTGGAGTTTGTGAAACCCTGGACTTTAGAGAGATGAGACCCGTGCATTACAATCTTCAGGCTACATATCGTGCGTGACTGCAGATGATATATATATTTGTATCGATCTAGCCTATACTTTCCGTCTAATCCTGGTTCTTTCATAAATTATGCTACCTTCATGGACACTGTATATGTTCGTTGCGTTCTCCTTTGGCATGCATTTTCGTCGACTAGCCCTACCTGTCCAAGGGGTCTTGAACGACGACTGCGTTTGCTAATTCCATTTTTATGTTCTGCGCTGTTTACAATAACATACGTATACTCAATGCGTAGGTGTCTTGTGTTGACCTCCGCATATTCACAGTTAGTTCGTTCGTCTCGTAGCCTTCCCTTCGTCCGTCCGAGGGGTTGTCCGGCAGCCAGATCGACTCTCATGTGCCACAGGGACTATTGTCCGTCTTCGTCAGTTGTTGCGAATTCGATTTGTCCCGTATACTGATGAGACATTGTACTCGTAACGGCGCCATCAATCCAAGTTCTATTCACGGCACACACACACACACAAGGTTTAATTATGTGTACGAATACATTATCAGAAATAAAAGTGTTTCATTTGTCAAACACTTTGCCATTTGGTACAAGTAAATATCTCGAGCAAAATGCTCACTGTTTTTGTGCTTATACATTACAGATGGATGAATGCCTACCCGCGCCAATGTTGGTCACGGGGGTCGTTTGGCCATCCTTAACCACGATGGCTTGGTGAACGGAGGAGGCAAGAGGGGGGGGGGGTGTCAAATATCATTCGCCACTGATGTTAGCCGTGGCCGGGAATCGAACTTCGGGTAGCCGGGCTTCGTAATACATTGGTGCTAACCGCCGCGCCGCCGCTCCAACAGAGTCTTGTGACACCGCGTGACCCTGCATCTTCATCTCGTAAGCAGCTGCAACGTGCTTATTAGTTACTGGCCGTGGATTTATTCCAAGTTCATTTTTTTTTCTTCTTTTTAAATTGCGAAAACTTGTAGAGAAGTCGAAATTTTAGTTTGCGTAGCTAACTGCCACCCCGCGCCCCCGATAAGCATTTCTGTTCTGCGCAAACATTTAAGAACACGGCGATGAACAGCGACACACGTTTGCGTCTTCCTTAACTCGAGCACTGACATCGCGGGCATGCCCACACACCCTTTGCTGTGTGTGCTGCAACGATTGCGAGATGGGGCAACGGGTAACTTTAACCCCCACTGCGGGTATACGGTGCGACAACCCGTTCATTATCTTTGCAATGCACCTTTACGCAAGAACGTACGCACCTGCGAACACAATTTCTAATTGTAACTCATCCGCGAATGTAATACACACATTACATGATACTGTACCACGCCATCAAGTGCCATGTACTAAACCTTGCGCCATCGTCTTGCGAGATATGCACCGCACGTGTCTGTAGCTCTGCGATTTAAGACATGTATACAAACATGTATAATTGGCGACGTTTCGGGCAATGGTCTTTCGTCACAGCACATAGACGGAGGTGTGAGAGAGACACAGAGTTGATAATTACGTTTGTCTGCTGTGAGGAAGGACCGTTATGTATTTTTCATCTTTCAATGAAGTGTTATTTGACGAGTGCTTTGGTGGTAAAAAAACATTTTTATTTAACTGTTCTTGTGCATCACTGTCAAAGCAGCGGCAGCGGCAACATCACCCGGCAATTTGTTTAGATACAATGCGCGTGTGCACATCGTCCACGAGGAAGCCACTGGAGACACGCACTTTTGAATCTCGATTGAAAACTCATTTCCTTACAGCTGCTTTTTTGCGTTTGTTTTGTTGGCACCTCCGATTAGCACGCTTGGCTACGTACGGTGCGAAAGAAGTCCAACATACACACAGACGGTACTCGCATTTTGGGGGTGTATTATTTTCAAAATAAACGGCAACTGGAAGAATGTGGCGAGTTCTGTTGAGTGATGCGGTATTATCCCACTAACGTATCTCTGGACGTATCTCAGTGCATCTCGAACGATGATTACGCACGTGCATAGACAAAGACCCCCAACCCCTTAATATAGCTTCAACAGACTTTTGGGGCAAGCGCTATCAAGCGAGCAACTATTTACGCCCAGACTCACCGTCTGGAATCTCGGAAGTGATTGTTGACAGCCTAGAATTCGACAGAGGCGATAAGCGAGTACTTGACGGTGCAGATTTGAGTAATAGAGAGAGAGCATCACACTTTGCTGCTTTTACAACGTTGCCATGTACCTTCATTACCATTGCCCAGGCAGACTCTTTGCAATGGGGTGCAAACATGCATAATTGACATTAATTGGTCACGCTTTAATAATGGATGATAATTAATGCGCTTTAATTCAATGCGGCTTGCATAATAATGGTAATTCCGTATTTCAGATTGACGTTGTGACTACTGTCAATGGCCAGACATTTTGAAAGTGTAGTTCATGAAGGTTTGCATGTGTGTGTGTGTCTGCACTTACCACTGCATAAGCACATGCAAGATGGTGTTTGTTGTTGGCTTGCATGGCCTTCCTTATGTGTACAAACGCGCTTATACAATGTGCGGGAACGTGTATTACGTGTCCACATTAAACAAACAAAGATACCCCGTGTAGCCTTAGCAGACTTGGGGCAAGTGCTGTTAGCGAGTAGCACCTGTGAAGATCGGCACGGCACACGAGGGAAGGGGGGTGGCTAACACTACGCCCGGTCGCCTTTGTCTCCCCAGTGGCGATGTTTACACACCACACCAGGTACTCATTTAAGGCTGAGTCGACCTAAGAGAGGGCCATGCCCGGTTCAGATAATCGTCACCCGTGTTGGTAGTGAGCGGGAATCGAACTCGGGTGGGCTGGTTTCGTAGCGTAGCGCTAACCGTTGCACCACCGCTCCCCACACACACACACACCTGTGCACACACAAAT